GTCAGACTCACGAGCAGACTGACGGTCAATAACTGAACAAAAATTCTCCTTTTAAAAAAAAGTAAAATAAAACCTACAGATCGTAGCAGAAGTCGGACATCTTTGCCAGATTGTCCTCACTTGTTTGCCTGACTCTTCTGTCCTGATCTGACCTGGCGGTGTCCCCAAGGGGGGACGAACGTATTGTTCGGGGAACTGTACCCAACCCACGGGCGATCTACTCTCTCTCTCTCTCTCTCTCTCTCTCTCTCTCTCTCTCCCTGTGTGTCTGCATATGCATATGCATATGTGTACGTGAGTCGGTGTGTCAGATGCTCCTCGCTGCACATACTGAACGTTGAGTAAAAAATAAAACGGATAATAAACAGAAACAATATTATACAAATATAATATGCAGCATCAACAAACAATACCAGTAACATGTACGTAAATACAAGCAATATAAGCAAACAGGAGCAATATCATAAATATAAGCAATATCAGCAAACAGATACAATACTATACATACATATACAAGCAATATCAGCAAATAGAAACAATACTATAAATATATACATGTACAAGTAAAATCAACAAATATGAACAAAAACATTAATATATTTAGGCTAGACAATATTAGAAAACAGTGTCTGATATCTAATTCTTAGAAAAATAAGAAACAATGAGTTACAGAGCAGCACATACATTTTCAAAATTGATTTGATTCGATTGATTAATCGTGTGGGAATAAATTTATGAAGTACGATAAGTTTTGTTGTCTAAAGCATACCTGCTGACTTTCTGTTTCGCCGTATCGACACCAATTGGCAAAATGCTCGCAGTTGTCCTTCAAAAGATTGTATCCTGCGTCCCCAAGCATTGACTTGGCTCTTTTGACAATCTCATCCGGAGGAAGAGGCCTACAATTTAAATAGAAAAAAAAATGGATGAAAAAGGAACGGTACTGCTTCCGAGCATTCGAAACATCATAAAAAAGTCGTAGTCGTAGCCTATCTAACAGCAACAGTTTGCAAGATTGTTTTTCTAGGAGTGAGGAATCCTACGTCAAAAACCACTCAATGTTTGGGTTGCTTTAGACTTAAGTGATTTTAGTGTGGCTCTGACGTCGCGATGAGCACTGCATGTATACTTTGTGTGAGTGTGTGCGTGTGCGTGTGCGTGTGTGTGTGTGTTTGTGTGTGTGCGTGTTGTGTGTGTGTGTGTGTGTGTGTGTGTGTGTTGTGTGTGTGTGTGTGCGTGTATGTGTGTGTGTGTATGTGTGTGTGTGTGTGTGTGTGTGTGTGTGTGTGTGTGTGTGTGTGTGGCGTGCATGTGTGAAAGTGTGTGTGTGTGTGTGTGTGTGTGTGTGTGTGTGGCGCATACATATAAATATTATATATATATATATATATATATATATATATATATATATATATATATATATATATATATATATATATATATATATACACACACAAGTATTACATGTATACATACAATCATACAGAGTATATACCGCTTTCTCTTTCTGTCACGCCTTACTTAACAAACAAAAAGGAAATAGCTTCTTTGACTTTGAACATTTTGATGACTTCACATTCGTTCCCAGACGTTTGTCCTTAGTTACTCTAGTGTCGTTAACAGAAGCGCTACAAAATAATTAATATGACAAGAGTAGGCTTTAATACAACACCAAGGCATTCGACAAAGTAAGGCACGACACGATTATTGACATGCTAGAAATCTTCAAATTGATGGGAAGGGCTTGAGGATTATCAAGAATATGTACTGGAATCAAACCTCTGCGATAAAAATAGAAAACGACATCAGCGAATTCATACAGATTAAAAGAGGAGTCAGATAGGAATGTGTGCTTTCACCAGGCTCTTTTTTCCCTGTATAGTGAAAATATCATGAGAAACATAGACGAAATGCCATTTATCTCGGTAGGGGGACATGACGTAAACAATCTTGAGTTATGCAGACGGCATTGTCCCGGAAAGAAGATGATGAAGAACACTTACATGATCTATTAAATACCATCGTACAAGAGAGTGACAACATGTGACTAAGCCTAAACATCAACAAAACTGAAACAATGGTGATAAGCAGAAAAACTCCAACTCCAACCAGCAATATCAAAATCAATAGTGCCACTCTCAAGCAAGTACACCATTTTAAATATTTGGGGACCATTATATCATCAGATGGAAGATGTCACACAGAAATCAAAAGCTGCATCAGCAAAGCAAAAGCAACCTTCCACAAAAAGAAACAGATACTTACAAACATCAATGTCTCTGGGAAAAAAAAAAAGAGTACTGAAAAGTTACATCGAGCCAATCCTATTATACGCGTGCGAAGCATGGACAATCAATAGGCAGCTGGAAAGAACAATTGGGGCGACCGGGTTGTGGTTCAAAAGACGCATGCTGCGTATCCCATGAACAGCTAGAAAAACAAATGAAGAAGTCTTGGTAGAGACAAATTATAGACGACACTTATGACGAATATCTAGCATCTGCGTTTGTTGCCATTTTTTGTCCAAAAGTTGCCACAAAAATGGCAAAAGTTGCCGAAAAAGTTTCCATTAAGTTTCAAGCTTTCAACTCTGTGTGACAATGTACATGTATATATAGCAATATGTCGATAGAGATAACTTAATCAAAAACGCCACCATTTCTTGTACTCTGTTTTAAGCACCCAGAATATCATTTGTAGCCACACAGAGTGTTTAGTTTTAGTAGAGGTTTTACGGCACTCGCAACTGCAAAAGGTCATATGAGCGCCACAGGATTAGATGTGTTACAAGAGAGTAACAAACAAAAAAAGAAGAACGGGAGATAAGGACGATAGATGCTTCATAGGAAAGAAGAAGCAAACCACACCAGAGCACCCGCCAACCACCCACACACAGAGTGTAGAAACGTGAAAAATTAAGGTTTCACAACAGAATGAAATCAAAATTAGAACAGCAAATAAACAACCACAACAATTATCACATAAGGGCGTGTGTCAACCCATCCATATACTGGCCGTTTTAACCCTTTACGCGTGTAATTCAAGAAAAAGTACAGGATCTAACATGTAGATCATGGAATCACACACAAGGGTTTTCGGGGAGACACGCTGTAACATAACTATAACACATTTTTAAAAGGTAGGAAGAACATTACGCTATCAAAACAAACACCAAAAAAACCCGGAAAAACAACACATCAGAACAATAACGAGAAAAAAAATTAACACTCCAACAAAATAAAACACAACAAAGAGGAAAACATGAAAGAGAAACAGCAATATAAAGAGTAAAATCTATGTAATGTAGCCTGCTTATGTTCTTCACATGAAAATTATACATCAACGTAGTGTTAACAAGTGATAAAGAGACGAAGTGAAGCAAAAGTGAAAATAAACTTTCTTTCTAAAAGTAAAAGAAAAGCGGTTTGGTTAATTTTGTTCCCACAAATATTATTCCCAGTTTTTGTTTTTATTATTTTAAAATTATTTTTTCTTCCCGGTGGTGGTTTTTTGTTGGATAAATGCAAAAATCGCGGGCGTAATTCGCGGACCCAAAAATGCCAAAAATCGCGACAGCGATGCGCGGGTCGCGCCAGCGAGAAACGCAGATGTTAGGAATATATACGAACGAAAGCGACAGGCAAAGTTCATTGGGTACACTATGCGGAAAAAAGTGTTGGAGAAACAACAGGAAAGTTTGATGGAGAGGCAGACAGAGGGAAACGATACTGGACCAGTTGACAACATGACTGGGAACAGCAAGAACTACAGACACATTCGCTGCAACGCAAGACAGAGTGAAGTGGAGGTCCATGATCGTCCACGCCAGTCGGCAAGGCACCGGATGATAACGAGGCTGCAATAAAGGAACGGTCTACACAGTGAAAAGTAACGGGTGAAAAGTAAATCAAATATCGAGAATGACTAAGATAGAACAGTGAGTAAGTAACTAAAATGGGAGTTACCGGTGTAATAAGCCAAAATCACTCTATGCAAGAAACACTACCAGTCATTTTGGCAACGCTGAAAGCACTATCAGTAGTGTTTATAGCACAGACCTTCACGCCAAAAACACTATTTCCGGCTACGCCAAAGAAAGACACTATCCTTGAGCCAAAATCACTCTATGCCAGAAACACTATCATAGTCATATTGGCAACGCTGAAAGCACTAGTAGTAGCGTTTATAGCACAGACCTTCACGCTAAATAAACTACTGTCCCGCAAAAAACACTACCATCAGATGTACGTAAATTACATTCACTACCATCACGCAAAATCCACTATCGTTTGTGTTTATAGCATAGGCCTTCACGTCAAAATCACTATTACTGGCTAGATCTATATCAATTAGTTCACTCTCTTTCAAGAAAAAATTACTATTCAAGTAGATCTATGCTAAAAAAACCAAACCCAAACTAGATCTATCCCGATCAATGATCACGCTAATTAAAGTACTCTCCCTCAAAAAACCCTAGATCTAGATCTAGATCAACCACCAGATGTAGAGTATATTATTTCTTAGCCTCTGGCAATATGTATTTATACAATCACACAAACCCCACTATTTTCGGCTTCTGACGCCGAATTCACTACTATAGAGACTTCAAAAACCACTCATATTATTAAGGATCGTATTGTGAGTAATTTGCAATCATCTATTTTGTGGATGAATCTTGCAGTTGCCATGGTAACGGTGGCCATAAAGGAAAATGAACCATTTTTGGCCTGTTTTTTTTTTATCTCAAAAAGTCAAGACATCACAAGCTTTTTCAGTTACATGTATCTTATAGATTTATATTTTTGGAGGAAAAAAAATATAAAAAAATTAGTCATTGAAAAATTGTAAAAGCCTTAGATCTAGATCTAGATCTAATCTAGATCTATTTTTTTAAACGTACAAACATCAATAACATTAGGAAGAAATAAGATATATTAAAAAAGCATGTGATATCTTGCTTAGCTTTATTTGGACCACATCTCTGCCAGGTTTCATTTAAATTTAAATCCATTCTTAAACTTCTGACTTTAGCAAAAAATGTACAGAAAAATATGATTTCGAGGAAAATGCAATTTTAATTCAAAATGTGTTCTCGGAAGTAATAAATAGCTACCTTTCAAAAGCATTTTAGAAGAAATATATTCTATTTGAGGCATAATACTTGGGAAAATGACACAATAGTGGCTAAACTAAAGGATAAAACAAAAATTTGAAGCTACACCCTCATTTCAGGTGCCATCTCTTAGTTATAATAGCCCAAGGTAGATCTACTGGTCTTAAAAATACTGGGATAGTGTTTTGAGTATAATGTCTAAACCACGAAAACAACCGTAGTAGTGTTTATAGACAGCGAAAGATCTTGTCAGTTTGTTAGTGTTTGAGCGCTTAATCAGCTGCTTGCACTGTATGCTTCCCGGGAAGCTGAAAATGTTTCGGAGTGTTCTATGGTCTACTGGGGTAATAATATAGTGTAAAGGCGCGAGCCTGCTGTTGATTGGGGATATGCGCTATACAAATGTTATTTATTATTATTATATTTTTTATTGACGAAGAATGATGATAGTGTTTTTGGCGTGAGTAGTCAATCTGGCGCGTAAGCGGCAGTGTTTTTAGCATAGAGATAGTGTTCTTAGCGTACGCTAAAGTCACTAGGGTAGTGTTCACAGCATGTGCAAAAATCACTACGGTAGTGGTTATGGCATGAAAGCTTACGCCAAAACCACTACGGTAGTCTTTATTGCACGGTAGTGTTCTGAGCGTGTTACACCGACTCTGGTTACGCACTACACTAGATCTATTGCGTTTACATGTATCATTAAAGATTAACAAATCTGCAAATACGAAAAGCTTCCAACTATTGAGCTTCGTATCCTAAATAAGACCCACCTGCTTTTATTGTCCCTGGAATTATTTTTGTAAGCGCAGTCGCCTCCAACAGCATCCCAAAAATCGTCTTCGCGCACCACGCCCTTGGGACCACCTCTTTCAGCATTTCGTCTAGTAAGGTGTATTATTTTCCCGCTACCTGTAACGAGCGAGTTGATTATATTTATCATGATTCAGGTGATAGGCCACAGATGCGAGCTTGCTTCTGGTCGTTGTGGATGCCAATTTTGTTAGCATCATGAAAATAGTCAACGTTTCTTGTTCCGTAGTCTTGATTTCTCAATCCTTTCTCTTTATAAAAAAACTGACGAGGTAGTGGCAAAGGAAAAAAACACACTATGGATTGTTTACTTTCGTTTGTCCACCGTTAAAAGGGGGCGAAAAACAAATCATTCTGATTAATCTTCTCAGGTCTTTGCATGCGGATCTAAAAGTTGGATGACCAACAAAATCAAAAACCCATTGATGAAGGCCACTGCAATATAACTGACATTTTTTTCCCTTTCAGATAACCTTGAAACAGGTTTAAGAAATACAGGGTTATCCCCCCCCCCAAAAAAAAACCCAACACCAAAACAAAACAAATTGTACAACTGTTTTTGTTAATATTTTCCCCCACACTGAAGTTTTGTGCTTCAAAGTTGTACACAGCATTTGTTAGTCAAAAGGAATTTGTCTGATATTCATTTTAGATAAATCCACATAATAGTCTTGCTCTACACAGTGCGTAAAAAAACCCCAAGCCATTTTCAGCTACGTCCCCATTTTTGTAGCATGACGCACAGGTTCGCATTAGGCCTACCACTAAAATTCTCAACGATTGCGTCATAGTGCAAACTACAGTAGTCTAACAGGCCAAAAGAAGTTTGAAGATAGTTTTCCTCAAGTTTCCTTTGCCTGCTGAGATCATGGTTAAGAATAGTAAAGAGCAGAGAGCTTTTTGTATTGAACATTTCCCCACCACCATCTCATTTCGTAAGTTTCGCACAAGGTACGGAAAAAAATGTTAAGGCCTTCTTTGATGCCAACGATGGAAATGGTCCATCAGTTAGGACCTGTAGAGAATCGGGACTAAACATCATCAGACAAAACGACCACTTCAGATAAACTCACTCACTGTTCACACCCCTTTAAACGTCACCAGGGTGCAAAATTCAGTAAATGAGCCCCATGAGACATTTGTCCGAAGACGATGTCTGCAGCAATGACTTTCCTACATCTCAACGGTCTGCATTCTCAAGGCAGATCTTAATCTACGACTGTACCATTTTCATGTTCGCGAAGCTATCAGAGGACTGCAACGTGGTCATGATTCCTCGATCGTCTTGAAAAGCACGAACATTTCCTCGATGACATTTTGTTCCTTGGCGAAACCCATATTATTCACCTTTCAGATTATATTAGTGCTGTCTGTTTGGGTAACCTCACCCCCCTCCCTTACGTTGTCTCCAGAAACAGTTCCATATGGTAAGGTGTACCGCGTGTGTGGCTTTGAGTACTCATGGTTGAGTGGACCCTTGTGTTTGGTTCCACTGAACATTACGAACGACGCGTTAAAATGTGTCAAGTCCAAAGGAGGACATAATAGGCAATTGGTTCTCGGAATTCGACAATTTTAAACATATTTTTTAAACTCTGTAGGAGAAAAAAAAATACTGTTTAAAGGTTACAGGGACGGAAAGATTAGATATAAAAAAAGAAAGGAAAAAACAAACCAATCATTTCAGGACTTTCCTTACAAGATCTTTTAAATTGGTGCATTGTGCATATATGTGGTTTTCATAAACGCCATTTCCATTTTCAAAAATAATTTTCTTCTTTGTGAATTATATGTCAAACAAATTCCTTTTGAAGGAATTATATCTGTTCCAAATGACAACATTCTAGAAGACATTTTGTGAGAGATATTTCGAAAAAAAGTTGCACACTTTTTTCTGATCACCCTGTACATTTTCAAAAAGGTGATATATACAGCATACACCTAAAAGTTTACATTATATTACATGTATTTATCTGTTATGGAGATTCTCAGGATAGACTGCTTAAAATCCTCTTGCGATCCGGATGATTATTATAATTATTCGTCGGGCGAATGCGGTCTGTTGACCTTGAGATTGACACCTGTGATGTAGGCTATGTAGGTCATCAGACAATGAGTAATCATTTTACTGCACGTTTGACTGGTGCTGTGGCTATCACGAAAGGTGAAAACTGAAAAAGACTTACCGATATACACACCCCAGTGAGAATAAAGGGATCTCTTGAACTGCACTCTGTCTCCTTTTCGCAAACTCTCCAGTACCCGTTTGTTGTGAGCCCTGGACGCAGCCGAGGACATAGATTTAAATGAGGAGGAAGACGAGGACCAGGACATTATTCCATTTCACATATTCTGGTTTCGTCTGAGAAAGACTGAAATAAGAAAAAACAAAACTAAAAATGCGTTTACTGGAATGTTCACTGAGATGAGTCGTGGGTGACAGGAAGCAGTACAGTTCTGACTGTTTTGTCAGCGTACGGCTGCATGTCCATTAAACCAGGAACGATCTAATTTTTTTGTCGGGAGGAGGTAATTCAGTCTATTCGTGTACGGGATGCGTGTCCACCAACGTTTGAGTAGCTCTGACGACACTTGGGCGCTTCTCGTTATCGGTCTATAAATGCCCAGGAGGTATACGAACGCAAGCATGTATAAGAAATGAACAAATCTTTGTAACTGATAATACGCATTTAATTAAACCAGGTGGTTTACAAAGGGATTTTTTTCCTCATTTTTAGGCCCTGATTATATAACATTAGTTTTTTCATCCGAATTTAAAATAAGAATATTTAGCAACTCTGGATTTCATGGATTGCTAAGGGGCAGTTCAAATATAATCTTACACCTTTTTGGGACTTTTTGACCCCCCCCCTACCCTTCTTACACTTTTCTTACATTTGTCC